CTCTACAGAATCCACCCCCCAAAACTCCAGGTATTTCCCTCCTTAGAGCTGGCAAACCTACTTTCCCCTCAGTGCCTGTTGGTAGGCAACTATGTTTGGTCCAGTCACCTACTTTGGCCTTTGGGAGAAAACATATTGGGGCCAATCCTGATAGGGTTGCCAACTCCCGATGGGAAATTCCTGGAGATTTGAGGGATGGAGCCTGAAGAGGGTGAGGTTTGAGGAGGGGTGGGACCTCAGACAGGTACAATGCCATAGACTCCACCCTCCAAACCACTCAGTCCCTCATGGGGAACCATTGTTGCCAATCTCCAGGTGAGGGCTGGAGACCACTCAAAATTACAATTGCTCTGCAGAAGGGAGAGCGGAAGTCAGCTGAAGTCAAAGGGGCAGATAATGGTAGGTTGATGGTTACCTGCGAAGGAGATGGGGTTGCCAACTCCAGGCTGGCAAATTCCTGGGGATTTGAGGGGTGGAGCCTGAGAGGGTGGGGTTTGCGGAGGGGTGGGACATCAGACAGGTAGAATGCCATAGACTCCACCTTCCAAACCAGCCATTTCGTCCTGGGTAACAATTGTTGCCAATTTCCAGGTGAGGGCTACAGATCACTCAAAAGTACAACTGCTCTTCAGGTAGCAGAGATCAGTTCCTCTGGAGAAAACAGTGGACTCTGTCATTATACCCTGCTGAGGTCACCACAGCAAAATGACACTGTTTGCCCAAAGCCAGAGTACTCCCCCAGAGCCTCTTTCTAGATCCCGTTGTATTTATTTCCACAACGGGCTTTACTACTAGTTAGATATATTTGTCACAGCAAATATTGTCTTAGCAGAGGTATTCCTCCTTTTCTCACATGCAGCATGGACATCTAAGTGCTTTACTGTTTTTATAAGTGTCTGTACGCTATGCAGAGGCACAAATATACATAATATATCAACCTTGTTGCTCAGTAAACTTGAGGTTTTTTTGGCCATTAAAACACATTATTGACTAAAGATAACCCCAATTAACTAGGCAGGAAGAAATTTTTTTTGTATTTTTTAATGTGTGTGTGTGCATATTTGTGTGTGTGCGCCTGGAGGTAATGGCAACCTCTGGTGACTGACCCCTACTGGGGGCCTGGAGGATATTCAGAGAGGTGGCTGAGTAAAGCCTGCCCCCAACTCCCACCTCTGGTATTTCAAGGAGGTCTCCCGTCCAAGTACTTGCCAGAGCCGACCCTGCTTAACTTCCAAGATCTGACAAGACCAGGCTTCTCCGGGCTATCCAGGTCAGGGTGACAGGAAGATTTTTTAAATTACTTTTGTATGGATTAACTGATATATCACCTAAGTGATACAGCTCTAGTGTAAATTATATTACCTTTTAATTGTTTTCTGCATGGTGATTTATCCCTGAGATCTGGACTGAGCACCACCCAGAGACCTGGCTTGGATCCTTGGGTGCAGCAGCAGCTTCTCCAGTAGAACAGCTTATCCGTCTGTGAAAAAGGGGGAGGGATGTTTGTGCAGACCCTCTGTTGCAGAAGGGTAGCAGGAAAGCCCCCCCCCCCAGTCTCATGGGCCTCCCACATGTATTATCTAAAAACACCTCCCCCCTCCTATGTTTCTTAGCCGCAAATTTATGCAGACTTTTGGTGCACTCCTCTGCAGAGTTCCTCTGATCTAAATCCTTGGGCGTAGCTTGGAGTAACTCTATAGAGGGCTGTACTGTCAATGACCAATCATTCAAAAGGCTGCAATTTATGATGCTTACCCATTGAACCAGTTCAGGTTTACTTTCCAGTAAACATGCATCACATTGGGCTGAGACACCCATGTGATTAATCAACTAAGGCCCCGGTCATATGTGCGGGAAAAATGCGGGGGGGAAGCGTGGCTGTTTTCCCTGGGGCAAAATAACGCACGGTTGCGCAAGCAGACGTCCCGTGGAGGTCCCATGGAGGTCTCGTGGTTAGGGGGGAGGTGCCGATCACAGGACAATCCTGCGGCGCTGCAAAGAAGCGGGGCCGTGGGGCAAACGGGGTTGTGTGGTTTTTTAAACTAAAGTGTGCACATGCTCCGTTGGGTGCTTCTGCGCATCCGTGGAGACTTGGGGGGAAAAAACCTTTTTGCGCGGGGACATGGGCGGGCACCGGAACTACCACCGGAAACGTGATCAGACGCCCGCCCATGCCCTGCGGTTTCCAGAAACTAGTACCTCGGAGGTACTAGTTTTTTACAGCGCATCTTCGGAGTGAAGCCTCAGGTTAGCCATGGGAGCTCTACACTTCCCAGATGTGGCAGTGAGATCGCGCCCGGAAAATCTGCCTATCTTCCGTCTCTCTAGCGTGCCTAATGCTCTGTGTGACCGCAGCCATAGACTATTTTACAAAAGTAGCTCTAATTTTTATAGTTATACGTTTATTTATTCATCCCACCTCTCACCCCGTCAAAGGGGGCCCAAGACAGCTTATTACCTATCTAGGTTTGCCACCTTCCATGTGGAGCCTGGAGCTCCCCCAGAATTATAGCTGATCTACAGAGATCAGTTCCCCAGGAGGAAATGGCAGCTTCGGAATGTGTTTTGTATGTCATCACTCCCCTGCTGAGCCCTCCCCAAATTCCACCCTTCCCAGGGGATGCTCCCTAATCTCTAGGAATGTCCCACATCAGAGTTGGCAACTCAGTTCATTTACTTATTTTCTTTAGATTTACTACTGGTTAGCAGTTCGGTCAGTCTACGTTGCAGTTTCCTGTTGTTGCCCAGATAAACGAGATCTCCATCTTTATTTAATCACTTTCTTCAGCTGCTGACCAAACACCACATGTGTTGGACTGAGCCTTTGTTTTGAGCCTTAAAGCATCAAGGCCACACGGTGGCAGCATCTGTTCGTCAGTGACACTCTTCATCTTCCCACTGCTTTATTTGTGCAACTCTCCCCAACTGTGAATTATAATTGATGAAGCCTATAATTACTGAGGAAGATTCAGTTATTGTGTCCCTACGTCTCTCGCTTACAGACATATATGTTAAAAAAAAATTAAATGGGAGAAAATAGAAAGGCAGTTTGTGCACCCCCCCCAATGTTCCCTCTAAGCTGTGGAGTCTTGTGAGCAAAAATTCTGCTTTGTGAACTACTGGCATTAAAGTTGCGAGCGACTGGTTTGGCTACTGCATAAATTAGTTTGCTCTGGAGACATCCTTCCTGAGCTAAGACAAGAATGTGTGAGCCAGAGGCTAAAAAGCTGTGAGCTAGCTCACACTAACTCAGCTTAGAGGGAACACTGCCCCCCACTGCTCAATGAAACAGCAGCATCACCAAGAAGACAGAAAGGCAGGCATAAATTATACAGCCCATGAGACATATGCATCCTTTCATGTGCAGGTCTGTTGGAATCCTAAAAATCCTGTTTTCATTTTAAAAATACACAAAAGCTTCTAGCTGACTGGGGGGTGGGGTCGTCGTCAAAGCAAATAAGTCCTATGGTAAACGGAGGGCATTTTTATTAAAATAACAGAGCTATGCCCTGACCAGGATAGCCTAGGCTAGCTTGATCTTAGAAGCTAAGCAGGGTCGGCCCTGGCTAGTATTTGGATGAGAGACCCCCCAAAAGGAGTACCAGGGTCATGATGAAGAGGCAGGCAAGTCTCCTTGCCTTGAAAACCCTACAGGGCTGCCACAAATTGGAGGGGAGGGGCCTCAGCACGGTACAGTGCCATAGAGTCCACCCTCCAAAGCAGCCATTTTCTCTGGGAGAACTCTGTCATCTGGAGATCAATTGTAATACCGGGAAATCTCCAGGCCTCACCTGGACACTGGCAATCTGAGCGCCTTTCTCCAATGTGGCACCTGCCACATGTTTCAGAAAAGTGGGGAAGGCCTTTGCCCCGTGGGGCTTGTGGGTGACAGGTGGTTTCCGGTGGAACAGGTAAACTGTGAACCTCCCTGAGATCCTGGCCTGCTTTCTGATTTGGATTGTACTTAAACAAATTGGCAACCCTTGGTAAAGATAAAGCAGTACCTGGCAAGAGCTAAGTAGTAGATTGCATTCTCCCTTGGAGTTCTTCCACTGTGTTCTGAGAATGACTCCAAAGAAGGGTTTAGCAGAAACTTTGCATCAGGGATGGAATAATAGTGAGGAGGCTTGAGGATCGAAATAGGGGGCAGAGGAACTCTTGCTAAGCACATATTTTGGTCCATATTTTCTTCATTGCCAAGAGTCACAGTCTTCTTTCTGCTTCTCTTTTTCTGCTGACGTCTGTTTGTGCTCTTGTTTGCGTCTCCCAGTGGAGGTAATTTGAGACTCAGCCCTTCTTGGTCCCCTTCTGAAGCCTTGGAGCAACACGCCCCCTGCCTGCGTTGGAAGGGATTATTTAAATTCAGCCTTTTGCTGCTGGTATCCTTGACCATGGCTTGATAAAAGCCCTTTGAAGTCATTTTTGGTTTTGTGAAACCATCCACAAGGACAACATCTCCAACTCGTGTCCTGAAGACGGCAGTCTGGTTGTGTCGCTTTATCCGACGGATGTTATTTTGAGCCTTCAGAAGCCACAGTTTTAACTTAATGTAGATTTTCGTGGGAAGGGAAAAATTGGGGTAAGAAACCACCGACCACATCTTGGTGACTAAGTACAATACACAATCCTTATGTTTATATTGGATACATAATTGCAGTGGAGTTTGCCCTGTAGAGTTTTGGCACTCAAGACACAGGATGCTATAATTAACGAAAGCTTTCAGCATCATGAGTTGGCCAGCTTCGGCGGCCGCGTGGACCGGACACTTAGCTACGTCTGGATGGTGGTTGCCTTGACACCACTCACGATAGGGGTGGACGCCGACTGCGTCAGTGGGTCTTGCTCCCTGTTTCAGGAGCCAGGCTGAAAGCTGAAGGTGTCCAAAAAAGGCTGCCATATAAAGGGCTACCCTCTTTTGATAACTGAAAGAGAGATGGAACATGACGAGTAAGTCAGCTTAAAAAAAAAAAAATCTTCAGCAAAACTACACCTTAAAAAGCACACATACAGTGTTGTCTCCACTTTTCCCAATGGCCCCAGAGGCATTTGGATAAATAATAGCTTTACATCAATGAAATCTCTCTTCGCAAAGGTATCATAGATACATGGGAGATGAAGCTTTGGGATAGCTGATGAGATCCAAGGGCTTAGGACATTCTGCATAGAAGAAATGCCGGGTTTCAGGAGTCATAGACCAGGTAAATTCACTCTCCTGGCAGGGATCTATTCTATTAGGAAAAATGAAGAGAGCAACAGTGCTCAAACATGCATGTCTTCCCATCCTGCATTAAATAAAAATGGTGGATAACATTGTAGTGACTTGCAGCCACCGAAGATACACTTGGGAAGCAGGAAAAAACAAGTCTTTGCTGATGCACTGAAGAAGAGAAGAAGAGTTGGGTTTTATAGATAGGGACTCTGGGCAAGTGATGCTCTGTCATCTTGGTGCTTGGGGGGGTCAAAAGTGGGAGGGCTTCTAATGTCCTGGCCCCACTGGTGGACCTCCTGATGGCACCTGGTATTTCTGGCCACTGTGTGATACAGAGTGTTGGACTGGATGGGCCTTTGGCCTGATCCAACATTGGCATCTCTTATGTTCTTATGTTCTTATACCCCACTTTTCTCTACCGGAAGGAGTCTCAAAGCAGCTTACAATCGCCTTCCCTTCCTCTCCTTACAACAGACACACTGTGATGTAGGTGGGGCTGAGAGAGTTCTGAGAGAGCCGTGACTGGCCCAAGGGCACCCAGCAGCAGGCTCTGTGTGGAGAGTGGGGAATCAAGCCCAGTTCTCCAGATCAGAGTCTGCTGCTCTTAACCGCAACACCATGCACTGATAGTTATCCAGTGGTAAAAGGAGACATGGTAGAGTCTGCATACATTTCTCCGGACAGATACTGGCAGGCAAAACGATGGCAGTGCTATACAAGCACCACATCGATTCACAGTTGTAAATGTAACATCTGACAGAACTGTGGGACATATGCTTCAACCAAGCCTACTAGAGGGGTATTTCATAATAATATCCAGTGGACACAAAAGAGAAACCTCTGAAGACTTGTCAAGGAGGAGGGATCCCATTTCGCTCCTTCCCACTAACACCCCCCCACCCCAATATCTGGCTCTTGCTTGCCTCCGCTCCCACCCTGTGTTCCCCTGTCCTGGAATGACTCCCTCTGCCTCCTGACCATTCTGGCTCACTTACTTGGTCTTTGCAGTCCCTGCTTGACTGCCCACTCCACCCCCCTGCCCCCCCCCCAACACCATCCCATGGAGATCAAGGCAGTGCAGTCTATAGCTCTCCTCCACCACCTGTTCCTGGCTGCGTTGGCCGCTTGTGCTCCAAGTTATTTTTTGGGGGGGAAATCTTTACATGCTATTAACTTGGGGTGCAGATACCCCCCATATTAGGGCTTTTGGTAATTTTAGAAAGATTTTTCTGAAAACCTGGGTATTTCCCCCACTATTGCAGAATTCTATACTATAGCAATGGCCGACCCCACGTCCAGATTTACGTATCTGTATTGAGGTCAGCCCTTAACTATTAGATGTACATATTTAGGTGTGTAAAGACAGCAATCAGTAGATTCTTTGGGCTGTAAAACCTACCCATTACTGCTTTGTACATCAAGCTCCACTTACGTACATGAGCTTTGTTTTAGTGTGGGGGGGGGGGCTGTAATCCACTGTTGGGAACATGTCCATTTGTCTGAGCAGCACTTTACATGAGAGTGTCAAAGTCATTGTCTAACGTAGGCCAAGCAGGCACAGACTTTCATAAGACCCATTTTGGAACAGAAGTGCTCAGTCTAAAAAGGGAAAATATATTTTCAAGGGTTAGATGATGAGTCACCATACTTGACTACTGGTTTTTCCATTGATAGATAGTGCTGGACCTTGTGTTTGTTTCCTAAGAGACATCCAGTGAGGAATTCTTTCCATCCATCCCAAACATCCAGATGAAGTAAAGTACCTGCCAACAGAAAGTTACAATCATTCAGCTCAGTTTCTAATTTTATTAGGGATATCATTTACACAGTCATGAAACTAGGGTTGCCAAGTTGAATATCCTAACCGGCGGGGGAGCGTTGCCGGGCTCTGGGAGCTCTCCTCCGATGTGCGCGCACACGCCGCCAGTACGCCCCGGAAGTGACGTGCGATGTCGGTCACGTTGGGGGCGTGGCCCCAATTGTCGGAGGGAAAACCATAGAGTTTTCCCTCCAACGATCGGGGCCACGCCCCCAACGTGATTGATGTGGTTGTGTCACCTCCGGTGACGCAGCCACACTGTGCTTTGGGGGGGCGGAGTTCCCCCCGGGGCCCGATTCAGCGGCGGCGGAAATCGGGCCTCCAAAGCGGGGGTTTACCCGCCCCCACTTGGCAGCCCTACATGAACCCCTCGGCTCAGTAATATGGCAAAATATAGTGCCAGCCAGCCAAGATGAAAACCATTTGGCATATTGGAATGTTTCCCTAAGTAAAAATTATGGCTTAGACGGAGTCCAAGTGAAGTAAAGCTGGTGGCAGAATAGGACCTCTCCTTCCTGCAGTAGCTCACTAAGCACACCCTCCCCCCTTCTACTGTCCAGACCTCGGTGGTCCAGGCTACCCTGATCTTGTTGCTTTGAAGCTAAGCAAGGTCAGCCCTGGCTAGTATTGGGATGGGAGATGTCCAAGGAATCCCAGGGTCATGACATGGAGACAGGCAATGGCAAACCACCTCTGTGCCTTGCCTTGAAAACCCCACGGCAGGGAACCCCAACCTTTTTGAGCCTGCGGGCACTTTTGGAATTCTGACACAGGGTGGTGGGTGCAACCACAAAATGGCTGCCACAAAATGAAAACTACAGGGGGCGGGACCAGCCACAAAATGGCTGTTGCAGCTTTCCTTCACCCATAGAGTAAAGACCCTTGTGCTACGTTGGCAGCTGCTGCAAAAGCAACATTTTTTAAAAAACTGCACAATCTATCAAGTCTCCAGCAACCAGTCAAAACCATTCCTGAGCAACAGCCCCACCTGGCCCCACCCACTCCCTAAAAACACTTGGTGAGCACCAGAAAAGGTGTCAGCGGGCGCCATGTTGGGGACTCCTGCCTTATGGGGTCGCCGTAAATAGGCTGTGACTTGATGGCATTTTCCACCACCACCACTTCTACTCATGGTGGTCAAGGGCCCTTAGAGAACTGTGTGGGTGGCAAAGTGGGGGCCTGCCATGTGAGGAGAGAAATAGGCTTGCCAAGTCCCCCCGGGGGGGCAGTAGGACTGCCAAATGCCCCCGGGGGGCGGATTTCCCCCCACTTTCAAGCCCCGAAAACTCTTTGTTTTCCCCTCAAATGGCGTGGCCCCACCCCCAGCGTGCGACGTCACTTCCGGGTGATGTGCACGCACGCACACAACAGACACCGGCCGGGAGCCCCCCGCTCCCAACCGATTCACATTTGGCAACCCTGGGGGGCGGGGAAACCCTCACCCCAGAGGCCCGTTCCCCGCCGCCGGCAGATCGGGCCACGGGGGGAACCCCAACCCGATGTGCGCATCACCAGCGGCGTGTGCGTGCTTTGCGCGCGCGCTCCAGTTGCTGTGCGGGAGTCCCCCGCTGCGGCTGAAGAAACGACTTGGCAACCCTAGGGAGAAATCAGCAAAAATTGCCCTTTCCTCCTCTGGCAATGGAAAGTCCATTACATTGGTGAAACAGGGATGCCAGCTCTGGGCTGGGAAATACTTGGAGATTTGGGTGTGGAGCCTGGGGGGGGGGGGGACCTCAGCAGGGTATAATGCCATAGAGTCCAACCTGCAAAGCCACCATTTTCTCCATTTTTCTACAATTGATCTCTGTAGTCTGTAGTCTGGAGATCAATTGTAATACTGGGAGGTCTCCAGGCCACACCTGGACATTGGCAACCCTAGTGAAAACAGCTCCTTTGGGTCCAAACCCATAACAATTTCTTAATTTCAGATGGTTCTAGGAACAACTAGAGGGTCCAAGCTATCTTGGAAATCGATAAAATAGATAAACAGTCATACCTATATCTAACTGATAATCACTCAAGGTATTGCAGTCATACATCTCTCTGCCCTCTGGAGTCCTGAGACAATAAACACTGTTTGGAAAGCCACACTTCAGAGTCACCAGGGTTTTCAGCTGGGAAACCTTTTCTGAAAGAAGATAAATCTTTCCCATAATGGGCACTTTTTCATGGGTGACAGTATTGTAGACATAGAAAACTGGTTTATCTTCTTCCTGGAAGGAAACCCCAACAATTAAGCACTTCTTTATTGATTTTAAAAAATTCTGTCCCACTGAACAAAACAAGACAACTCAAAACAAATCCTTAAAAATAGCTTTTTTAAAAGCATGTAAACAAAACATTTGAAACACTTTAAACATTACCCATATCATAAAATGGAGAAGATATAAAAATTTTAACTCTGAAAACTAGGAGCAAGAAAAAATAAAAACATGGCAAGAGGGTAAGAATCCACACATACACCCAACTAAAACAGTCTTCAAGGGCAGCCCCAGGTACACTGCATTGCAGTAATCTAACCTGAATGTGATCAGAGCATGGATAACTGCTGGTAAATTATGCAGAATACTGGTGCTGCACACTTGGACATCTATTGTCTTTCTATGAAATGTGGTCCAGTAATCCAGATTCCAGCCTAGGGGTAGAGATTGCCAGTTTTGTTCTTAAATGGATGTAGTCTACTATGTTCGGGATGGGGGTGGGGCGGAGTTCCAAATCAATGGGAATTTTTTTTTCTGAGCATGTTTAAAAGGCAAATGGAATGGAGCTGGTAAAAAGGTGTCAGGGATATGATGCTGTTTGGGAATATTTGTAGCATTCCCTTACTTCTAGCAGAGGATCAGACTGCCCAGCAAGATGGTTAGAGTAGTTACAAAATAAAACAACAGTACTGCACTACTCAAAAGAAGCAGTAAATACCAGGGGAGCCTCTAAAGTACACTGTAGCATTACAGCTGGGACTGCAAACTTTATGTTGGGAAGTTCCTGGACATCTGGCAGTAGAAAAAGAAGAGATTGGATTTATACCCTGTCCCTCACTACCCAAAGGAGTCTCAGAGCGGTTTACAATCTCCTTTCTCCTCCCCACAACAGACACCCTGTGAGGTAGGTGGGGCTGAGAGAGCTCTTCCAAGAATTGCTCTTGAGAGAACAGCTCTGAGAGAACAGTGACTGACCCAAGGTCATGCCAGCAGCTGCATGTGGAGGAGTGGGGAATCAGACATGGTTTTCCCAGATTAGAGATTGGGGAGGGGAGGGACCTCAGTGGGGTAATGCCATAGAGTTCCCCCACTAAAGCACCCCTTTTGTCCAGGAGAACTGATGACTGCATTTTGGAGGCTGGAAAGCCTCCTTACATAGCGCCCCTCGGCAGAGAAAAAGGATCAGAGTAAAGGGTGGCCTGGGCTACGGAGGGGCCCTGACTCCATTGCCTGCTCCATCGCCACTTTTGTGCAACCACTGCAAGAAAGGGGGAGGAGGCAGCAGGGAGAGTGGAGTAGGGGCAAATGGATGTGATGCTGCCTGGTCCCACGCTGCTTGTTGGTGCTACCATGGCAGAGAAACATTTTGCTAGGGCTGCCAGCCTCCAGGTGGCCAAAACCTAAGCAAAAATGCCATGGGCAATAACGAAAACCAATTCACAAAATATACATTAGTAAGTGCAAAACATATAAAGTCCAATAAAGTCACAATATCAACATTCAAAATGCATATTGCATAAAAAACATCCATTCCAAAACAATCCATACCACAAATATTGCTTCAGCTTCAGTGCTTGAGGTGAAATTGTGATGATTGTATTGAATTCTCTGGATGTATGTATTGTTCCTGCACTCTCTTCTGAAAAAGCGATCTGTGAAACGATTTTTAAGTCTATGGCATCATCAAGGAGGAACGCTCACATCCTTACAGTGGCAAGAACTATGCACACAAGCACTTTATTCTTATTACAAACTTAGTTCATATTAATTAGTGCTAGGGATTGCTTTGGAATGGATTTGGACTTCTCTATGCAATATGCATTTTGAAAGTTGATATTGTGACTTTATTGGACTGTATCGGTTTTCGTTACTGTCCATAGCATCTTTGCTTAGATTCTGATCTTTTCCCGTGGTTCTCCCTGGTTGTAATCTCCAGGTGGTGGCTGGAGATCTCATGGGATTGCAACTGATCTCCAGGTGACAGAGATAAATTCACCTGGAGCAAATGGCCACTTCAGAAGGTAGACTGTATGCTATTATACCCCATAGCGGTCTCTTCCCTCCTCAAACCCCACCCTCCCCATGTTTTACCCCAAAAACATCCAGGTATTTCCCAACTTGGAGCTGGCAACCTTAATTTCTGTGCTCTGCATCTAGAAGCAGCCACGCTCATTGATAAATTGGATTTACAGTACCATCCGAATTCCATGGAAGCCAATAGGCTTAGGAGAGGGTAACTTTGCTAAGGATGGCAGCATTCGACTCAGTAATCTTATCTATAAAATGTGAACAAAAGGGAGCTACCTCACAGACCACAGTTGTTCACAGAGAAAGAAGATCTTGCAGCACACTTTACGCTATAAAGAAGTGCAGAAACAATAAAAATGGTTTTCCAGATAACGGTGCATGGTTGTTTTATTTTTATTATTGTAATCATCATTATTTTAAACAGGCATATGCGGCATTTTCGAAAGGTAAGGGCGCTTCACAAATATAACAGTACATCCAGCTCTATTCTCTTTCTCGGGAAACTGGTCCCACTTGAGTCATAAAAATGCCAAGGATGGCAGCTCTCTGGCTTCTGTTCCTGGTTTTCATGGTCTGTGGCTTTAGCAAGGCTATCCCAGCAACAATAATAATCCTAGCTATCTAATTCTAGAATGTAGAAAACAAAGTACACAAGGATGAATAACGTCCTGTTTCTGTCTGGATAAGGCACAACCAAGCTGTGTCTCGGCATTTCCCGTATCAGCTTCAAAGAGGGGCCAGGCCTATTACCTCAGAAAAGGGTCTGCCTGGCTACTTGTGTTCTGATTAGTGGCTCTACATTTGGTTACCAGTCAGTTGGACTGAAATAGCTCTCACAGTGGGGCACAATAATCCCCCCTCCTTTGAGAAGTAAGTTGTGGCACAGTTAGATAAATCATATGCTAGACATTTTCCTTGCCAGTGAAGATCCATTTCTATAGAATGTAGATGTCAAGGTAGACTGAAACCGTGGTTATTCCTTGGTAAAGGAGACAAATAGTTTTTATCTGGTTTGTATCCTGCTGTTTTTTACAAGGCGTTGAGGTAAGGTTGCCAACCTCGAGGTAGTGGCTAGAAATCTCCCACTATTACAACTGATCTCCAGGTGACAGAGATCACTTTACCTGGAGAAAACGGCCACTTTGGAAGGTGGATTCTGTGGCACCGGAGTCCCTCCTCTCCCCAAACCCCACCCTCCTCAGGCTCTACTCCCAAAATCTCCAGGTATTTCCAAACATAAGAGCCCTGCTGGATCCAACCAGTGGGTCCACCTAGTCCAGCATCCTGTCTCACAGAGTGGCCTACGAGTTCTTCTGGAGGGCCAACAATGGGGCATAGAGGTTGAAGCCTTCGCCTGATGTTGCCGCCTGATTCTGGGATTCAGAGGCTTAGTGCCTCTGAACGTGAAGGTTCCCCTCCGTCACCATGGCTAGTAGCCACTGATAGACTTATCCTCCACAAATCTATCTAAACCCCTTTTAAAGCTGTTTATTCCTGTGGCCATCACTACATCCTCTGGCAGTGAATTCCACATTTTAAACTCTGTGTAAAGAAGGAGCTGGAAGCCCTAAGTTTAGGACAGTGTTAAAGGACACTCCAGTTTTATCCTCAAAACAACCCTGCGAGGAAATAGGCTAGGCTCCAAGAGAGTACGAGTCAGGTAAGGCTAAGCATCGTGGCTGAGCAAAGATCTGAAATTAGGTCCCTGGCCCTAAGTCCATCTGCTGTCCCACATATTGAATTTTAAAGCTGAATTCCCATACTCCCCCTCACATTTGATAGTATATTGCCAGAAAATTAAGTGTGTAGGACGTTATGCTATAAATTATTGGTTGTCTGACAAATGGTAGAAGGAAGAGTTAAATGCATGTTGCTGCTGAATTCCACTGGCCCAGAATCCTTCTGTGTAATCTGTGATTGAGATGTAGAGGACTAGTTAGCCACAATGTGCTTAAAGGAGGGAAGGAGAAATAGGTGAATCATCTGAATCAGTGATTATTGCTTTTTAGGCCATGGTTTTTAACTAGCTCGGAAGGGCCACGGTGGCTCAGAGGTTAAGATGCTGAGCTGCAGACTGGAAAGTCTGTAGTTTGGCAGTTCGAGACCCTAGTGCCGCGTGATGGAGTGAGCTCCAGTCTCTGGCCCCAGCTCCTGTCAACCTAGCAGTTCAAAAGCAAGAAATTGCAAGTAGATAAATAGGTACTGCCTTGGTGGGAAGGTAACAGTGTTCCGTGCACATCAGTGTTTAGTCAGGCTGGCCACATGACCATGGAGAAGTCTTTCGACAGTACTGGCTCTTCGGCTTGAAAACAAAGATGAGCACCGCCCCCTAGAGTCGGATTCAACTGGTTTTCGAGCAAGGGGAACCTTTACCTTTACTTTTAAGTAGCTCACTCTAGTGTTATGCTGTGATTTTTATGAGACCTGCTCTAGAATTATTGTTTCAAGTCTACAGTTTGAAGGAAGGAAAAGATCCAAGACAACTGAAACATGTCAGGAGTAATGGGTCTCCTCATAAATGGGTTCAATAAAGCAGCAACCTGATTCCCATTTACTTGGCATCATCCCAATAAACTCAAATTGGACTTCCGAAAAAACATGCCTGGGATCAGGCTGAACATGTGCTTTCAGCTATTGTGTTCCTGAGTCAAACTATAATTCTATCAAGGTCAGTATTGTCTGCTAGGATTACCACCCACCATTCACTTGCTGTCCCCACTGCCACTTGGCATGGTGGCTAGGGAAAAATTAGGGGTAAAGAATAGTCACACTAATGGCATCAATGGGGAAAGAATCACTGTGCCAATAGTAAAACCATAGAGTTCAGGGGGTTCCTAGAACATCAGTCTAATATGGTGACATCACTTCTAGGTTTGCACTGGAAGTGATGCTGGGCCACTGACTTTGCCCACACCCTCTCCCACCACTGTCTGGCAACACTATCTCTTGTTGGAAGTGAAGGCCTTTTCACTGTCTCTTAGCCTCAGACTTCAGAGGGGGACTATAGAGAGTCCCATCTACCTCCAGCCCAGTTTTCAATCACTGGACTGTCATCATCATCAAACTGCTCCCTCTCGTCCCCCCTGCTCTGAAGATAAGTGGTTTCATTTATGATTTTTTTTGAATATATTGATATTCCATGAATTCCCAGCTTTCATTTGAAAAAATGTCTCTAGCCTCCACCCTCACGGAGATATGCCTTTTCCCTTATATCTCTGTGAGGGAAGGAACTATAGTATATTGATATATCCATGTTTTAGTGACTTTTTAAAAAAATGCAGCCATGATATTGATATACAGATACAAGGACGCGCAAAAAATTAAGAAGTAGGGGGTGCGATGATGATAACAGCACCCTCCCTTGAAATCCTGATTATCTACAGCATGTGTGGAAGAGAATGAACTGACTCCACAACGGTGAAAATGCAGAAGGTGGGCAGACCAAACCAATTCCAGTGCTTGTGGATCAACTCCCAAGAAAATCAGGAGTCAATTGAATATATGGAAAAGTCATGACCCTTCCCCCAAATCAGTGTCAATTGCTGCAGCCGGCAGAAAAGGAGATTAAGCAAGGGAACTGGCTGAGAATTAGAGCTGGAGGCGCAGCATCTTTCTTAGTGCTTCAGTCATAGATACATTCTAAAAGCAGAGTCTTGTCTTTAAATAAGCTTATTAATTGGATTTGTCCTCACTATTATAGAAATCTTTCCTTCTGCAGATTCAGTTTCTGTTGAGAAGTACTATGCTATCCTTTAAAAGACATTTTAAAAAAAGAACTTTAGAAGTTTCTGGAAAAGAAAAGGTAAGGCTAAGAATTCATTAATACTGTCTTAACACCTTTCTGCAGTCATTATCTGAAGGTTACCAGTCTCAGGCTAAGGTCAGATGCTTTTGATTACTGCTGAGTACTGCTACCACAAAGGCTATAATTTAGAGACAGAAAACCACATGCACAGAAAATTTATCTGCTTAATTAGGCAGCATGGTGGTGGTGTTTGAAAAAAAGAACTGTACAGTACCTTAATAACACATTTAATTGTGGAAGACACTGATATTCCTACATCAGCAAGAATCCAGCTGTCCTTGAGAACTGCTCCCGCATATATCAACTCCAAATATCTCCTGCCTTGTTTATCTTCAGAGACAGGTACATGAAAATAATCCTTAAGAAAACAAAATGCAATTGATGATTCTTCTGAAATAATAAGAAGCAAATATTCAGGGTAAATAACCAGTTAGAATTCCAGTCCATACCCGTTACCTCAATAAACTCCATGATCAAAAGACAGTATAGAGTGAGGTTCAGTTAGTCTGGATGTGTGGGATTGTTGATGCTTGCCTACAATGGTTAAGACCCACCTGTTTCCATAAGCATTTTATGCAAAAGGCTATATAGGTTTTCGTTCAGCGTCTTTTTCACGTTATGCAAAACGGTCCTAATTCTCACTACTCCAAAGGAAGTACATTTACAGGGAAGAGCAGGGGCAATTCATATTATTGTTTTTTTATGTGATGAGTTACCATATGACCATTTTATGACTAATCCAGAGTGTGATCACATTTTGACTCTTTATATCCTGGTGAAACCACTCTTGATGTTATCTTGTTGAGTGCCATCAGGTCACTTCTGACTTATCCCAACCCTATGAATGAATGACCTCAAAAATGCCTTATTGTTAACAGTGTTGCTCAAGGCTTGCTTATTGAAGGCCCTGGCTTCCTTGATTGAGTCAATCCATCTCATGTTGGGTCTTCCTCTTTTCCTGCTGCCTTCAACTTTTCCTACCGTTATTGTCTTTTCCAGGGACACTTGTCTTCTCATAATGTGACCAATGTATGATAGCCCCCATTTAGCCATTTTAGCTTAGTTCAGGCTTGATTTGATCTACAGCCTATTTGTCTTTTTGATGGCCCATGGTATCCGTAGAACTCTCCTCCAACGTCACATTTCAAATGATGTTATCTTAAGTGAATCAACAAACTCACCAAATGTTCTTCTATTGTGTTTAAAGATCAGGCTGTCAAAACAATAGCATCAAATTAATCAGGAATATATCTATGGAGTGTCAGTGATCAGGTGCCCCACCCCCCCAAGGATATTTCAGGTCCCACTCTGAATGTTCAGCTTTCATTTAAGAAAAGAAAGAGGTCAGCCTCTACTAATTTGAAAGTCTTTTCACGCTGAGGTTTTCCCACTGATTGTGGACCTGCAGTGGTTTTTCTCTGAGGCTGTGGTCACACAGCAAGGTAATTGCGACTTGTTCCCAGCATAAATTTAATCGGGAATATTTTGTTTCGGGTTGGGATGATCACACATCCCTCCCCGAACCGCAAGCATTCAGCGAGGAGGCTCTGGGCACTGTCTAGATGCAGCCGGCCCCTCTGTCCGTAGCCCGCTCGCTTGCCAGCCCATCCAGCACTTCCTTCCCTGCCCGCCCACCTCCCCTCCCCAGCAATGTTCCACGCCACCAGCCCAATGCTGCTGGCAAGCTGGGCGCGCTTCAGGCTCCCTCCCTCCTAACGCTACCGTTGGGTAGGGCGGGGTATAAGTCCCAAAATAAATAAATAAATAAATAAAATAAAGCCCTGCCAGTGCTTCCTTCCCCGCTCGCCAGCTTCCTCCCCCAGCAACTTTCCATGCCGCCTCTGGCTGCCCAACGCTGCTAGCAAGCTGGGCAAGCTCCCCAGCGCTGGGGGCTCCCTCCCTCCTAACACCGCATCGGGGACTCCTGGCAGGACCACGAGCTCTGCGCTGGATGTGCACTTGAATGTTTAAATATAGAATTTATTCAGCGCGGGATTGCTCATGCGTTCAAAGGTGGAGGCTGGAAAAAAACAAAACCTCATAGTGCAAAGAAAGGTCAGACCGCCCTAATTGCAATCATTGCGAGAGATGGCTGTCCAGATCGGTGAAATTGTAGATTCAAAGCGCAAATATCTGGAAAGTACTTGATTCTCCCAGTCCAGGAAAACGCAGCAGAGAACCAGGAGGATTGCGCAAGTGCGCCCAGTTTGGGGCGGGAGGCAGATTGGCCCATCTGATCAGCAAATTTAAATGTGAGAGGGAACAGCAGTGAAACCCGATCAAAACAACCGTGTGACCACATCCAGAGCCTCTCATGTCCTCATTTTACATTTGTTTATAGCTTCTTTCCTGCCAACCTAGCAGTTCAAAAGCACGAAATTGCAAGTAGATAAATAGGTACCACTTCGGTGGGAAGGTAACAGCGCTCCGTGCGCCTTGGTGTTTAGTCATGCTGGCTACATGACCATGGAAACGTCTTCGGACAGTGCTGGCTTTGAAATGGAGATGAGCACCGCAACCCTAGAGTTGGAGTCGACTGGCTTTCGAGCAAGGGAACCTTTACCTTTACTTTATAGCTTCTTTGTAGTTTTCCCCATGCTTTCTCAAATTAGATCACAGGCAGTTTGAGCAAGCATGGAGAAATGGCAAAGATATAATGGAAGGGGGGGGAAAAGGGAAAATGAGGATTCAAGGAAGCTCAGAGAAAAACTGCTGCAAGTTGGCACCTAAACCACAGGAATATCTATGTGTGAAAAGATCTGCATTTCAGCAATATAAGAGGAAGCTTGGATGTCATTAAATTGTTCCATTAAAAGGTAAACCTGCTTCAGACCTTCAGGATTCTGTTCACTGAGGGAAAAGTGACAAGTCCTTGGGGATTTCCTTTTTAATTTTACTAATATGTCATTTGATTAAAGTTATTTATTTAAGGATATTTCTGTGCTCCCTCTTCAAAGTCCTGCTTGAGGCACTTTACAATTAAAATAATAAATTATCAATATAAAAACAACAAGCCATTAAAACAAGACCAGGGACATAAACAGCATAAGGCTGTCCATAAAACAGACCTCACCATTACAAAGCTGGAAAGATAAACCCCCCCCCCCAATTAAAAGCCTGGGTAAAAATAGATATTTTGACTGGGTGCCAGGGGACCCTTAAGGAGGAGAGTGTTCCAAAGGTAAGATGGCACCACAGAAAATGCTTCGTCACTAATCTCCACAGCAGCCCAAATAGCTCAGCTTGGCCTGAATTCATCAGAGTTTGGGAACTAAGCAGGATTGGCCAGAAGTTGGTCAGAAGTTGGATGGGACCAGGGAAGACTACCAATGTTCCCTCTAAGCTGTGCAGTCTTGTGAGCAAAAATTCGACTTTGTGAGCTCCTGGCATTAAAGTTGTGAGCGAGCAGTTTGGCTACAGCATAAATCAGTTTGCTCTGGAGCCATCCTTCCTGAGCGAAGACAAAAATGTGTGAGCCGGAGGCTAAAAAACTGTGAGCTGGCTCATACTAACTCAGCTTAGAGGGAACACTGAAGACTACCCAGATGAAAGCAGTGGCAAACCACCTCTCCTTGTCCCTTGCCTCAAACAACCCATGATCAGGGTTGTCATCAGTTGGCTGGGACTTGACAGCACATTCTTTTTCTTCTAGTCACTCACCACCTGTCTCACCTCTGAGGAAGAGAGGGCAGGGCTTGGGAGGCAGATCATACCTGGCAGATCAGACGGTATGGAAGGAGACAGTCCTCTACGTGTTCATACTGGCCCCAAACCATTTAACAACTTAAATAACTTCAAACATATTGAACTGTCTGTACTCAGGCCTTTGCTATTTATACATCAATTTAAGATGCCACAAAGTTTCTGGTTATGAGTTTGGTAGTAATGTTTTTAAAGAATCTTTTTGTACCAATTCCTGGAACCAAAGGGTTTAGCTAAGCCTCAAGCAGAATAAAAATCCCAGTTATTTTACAATATGCAGTCAAAATAAACTAGCCCTTCCCACATTAAAATATATACAGATTTGAAACTGCTTGTTTCAGGCATTTCAAAAATATTATTTAGATCACAAAAGAGACACCAAGTCTCTTGAATTAAAACAATCTTGCTGGCAACTCTTACGTGACATAAACTGGAAATATACATTTTAACAAAATGTTTGCAATGAAATCCGGTGACAACTGAGTTCCTTATTTTACAATGTGAAGCTTTTCTATAGCGATTCTCCCATTGGACAGCAGATATAACCCATTTCAGATTTTCACATGCAGTTAAATGCTAAGACAACCAAGTCAACATTATAGAGAACAAAGCAATTTGGCTTCTGGCCAAGTTCTTACCTTTATCATCAGCTTTACATCTTTTACGGTATCCTCAGATGAAATGTCGAAAGATTCATAAAGTCCTTCAAAAGCAACAAAAACCCTCATTTTGAAAAATGCCCTTAGAAACTCTTTGAAGCTCTTTCTACACAAACAACAGGCTCCACAGATCTTGTACCCACATCGGCATAGAATAATCAATCCTTAGGCGATTGTAAATATCCAACGTAAATGTGTACATTTTTCTTCAAAGCCAAAGGCAGCCAGAAAAGGCCCAGATTTCTGAAGCAGCAGAGAGACTCAGAAAAATAAACTGGACTCCCTAAATTGAGCAGCATAGGAAAAATGCTCCCCTCCAAACCACAAGCTTAATTAAACCATCAAGCCACGTATTGACAGTATTGACCGTGGCAAGCAGGAACAAGCTTTCAACATGTACATGCATGTTTCCAGCTAACCATACCAGTTTTCTTTGCTCAACTGGCACTTAGCAAACCATTCAGCATCATTACATAAATGAGCGTTATTGTTTATTTGATTCCTTATGGCATTCCGCAAACTTTCTCTAAACAAATCTTGTCTCTGTGCTCACGTTACCATAACAACTCTGTAAGCCCGTTAACAGTGCTTGCCTGGCCGCTTTAGATCAGGAGCCAACTGTACTTTCCACAAAAAGCAGAAAGGCCGGTTGCTGGAGAACTTGACATCCAATAAGCAAGAGAATGAGAAGAGGGACTTAGGGGTTCCTGCTGTCATTTAAAATCACTGTGCCCTTTAACATACGGTTTTCTCTTGGGTAAGGTACAGAGAGTTGACTGGTGGTCTTAAAAGATGCTTGCTGCTTGCAGCTGTTGAAACAGTAAGCTCCCTGGTGCCTATAAAATGAATGTCCCAGTAGACTGAATGCACTGTTGTTATTTTTTCACCAGCATGCTAAGTCGTTGATTGAAATGTGCTGACATTGGCATAAACTTCGACATGTCTATTTATCCTTTATTATTACTATGGCATGATATAAAAGGTAACCCATGCGGTGTAGTGGTCAGAGTGTCAGACTAGGGTCTGGGAGAGACCCAGATTAGAATTCCCACTCTGCTGTAGAAGCTCACTGGGCGTCTTGGGGCCAATCACACACACTCAACCTAACCTACCTTGCAGGGTTATTGTAAGGATAAAATAGAGGAGAAGGGAATGATCTAAGCTGCTTTGGGTCCCAATTAGGGAGAATGGCAGTGTATAAATGAAGTGAATAAATAAAAGGTAAGAACAGCCAAACCAGCGAAACAGAATGAAACTGCAGTAAAGGAAAACCAAAACCAAATGAAAATGACATTTGTGCTTGATGCTGTTTAGAGTCAGGAATTGAACTCTGTTCTCCAGATTAGAATCTGCTGCTCTTAACTGCAACACCAAAACATGTACTCTGCTTTTCCATCAGACTTGATATTTGGAATTGTAGCCCAGAGGTGCTGCCTTACTTGCTGGTAGCCCTAAATAGCAGGGCACCCCACTTCTAACCTGAACCAGAAACCCACAAAGTCAGGCCAAGGAAGGCACTCCTGGCCTGAAACACAAAGCTAGCCATAAACTCTGAAAAAGGGCTTAATTTCAGGTGACACACAAGGCAGCTCTCCAAGGCAGTCTCCAACCTCCCCCTCCACCCAGCAGAGCTATGCTTATGGAATAACAACTGGTTCCACCAGGTAAGGTATCTACATTTCTAAAGATCTGACAAAGATAGCTGAGTTTCTTGAAAGCTTATGCTACAATAAAGTTTGTTAGTCTTAAAGGCACTACTGGGCTTTTTACTATTTTACATTTCTAAAGGGTATTCAGAGGCCACCTGGTGAATAGCCCTTCTGTCTCCAGAACTTCACCTAGCCCTTTTGTGTGCACCAATATCTATGTGAGAATCCTTTGTTTCTAGGACCTATGTTGTTTTTCCCCCTGGTTGAACCCACACAGATGATAACCAGAAACCCAGCTTGTCATTCTTTTGACCTGTTAAAACACATCTTCACTATTTTGCATGCTAATTTAACAAGACACCTCTATATACACAACTATGATACGTAATTCCATTTCATCGTCTGACGACGTGTGCATACACACAAAAGCTCACACCTTGAATAAAACTCTGTTGGTCTTAAAGGTGCTATTGGACTCTGTTCTGTTGCTTCAGGCCAACACGGCTGCCCATCTTGATCTAGGATGTTAAAGTAGAAGTTTATACCACTACCAAAATTTCCACAAAAACAAGTAAACTTTGATTCTAATAATCCGTTGAGTCTTCTAACAACCAAATAACAAGTTTTGGGTAAATGTGTTTTATTTATTGAACTGGATTTCAATTTGCTATAACGGTAGGGTAAGAATGCACTGAATCTGGATAACTGAGGATGACAGCACTTGCATAATAAATAAGGATCTTCTGTAAGAAGAGGCATTCTATCTCTCAGGATCAGATATCACCCGTCCTTGTGACCAGCAGCTAGAGAAGTTGCTGGTGTTTCTCTGATTCAAGACAAAATGCTTTTTTGCTGTTCCAGTTAACCTGGACCAGTATTGTGGGATTACTGATGGTTTAATAACTGCATCCATCTTTTTTCTCAGCACTGAATTGTGTTACCAGCATTCTGAACAGCTTTGTACTCAAAAACACTGGCTCAGACTAGTAATGAGACCTACAGCATTTTTTTGTTTATGTTTGGAAAGGGAAAAACAAATTATGTATAATCAGGGCAAAGACCATCAATCAAATGTAATCTAGTTAGCTCTAAATTCAGTACAACTCTTTATCCCCACAAAATTACTGTAACTATAAATACAACTAGAGGTAATTTGTAACCTCTTTCCTGTTTCTCCTCCAAAAGGTTTGCTTATTTGCCTTTGTGCTTCACTATCACCTGTTTCCTCTCATCAGCATTTCTCCTCCCACACACTTTCCTGATAATAAGCTCTAGTTCCTTTTTCTGCTCCACTATCCACTAATATCCTGAATCTCTATGAAGAACTTCCCACTACTTTTATGCTTTTTCCAGGTAATTTTGCTTTTTAATCAAGGCCTTGTTCTCTCTTCTGCATTTTATCTTCCCAACAACCCTGTGAGGTAGGTTAGGTTGATGAAAAAGTGACCAGCCAAAGGCCACCCAGCAAGCTTCACAGCAAAATGAGAATCTGAACCCAGGTCTCCTTGGTCCTATTCTGCCCCTCAAATGACTGTGACACAATGGTTTCTGCGTTATTTATGCAATGAGCTATTAAAATGTGGAATTTGCTACCAGAGGGTATAGTGATGGCCACAAGCAGCTTTGAAAGGATTAATGGAAGATAGATTTATCAGTGACTACAGCATTCCGTGCGCCTCAGCGTCTAGTCATGCCAGCCACATGACCATGGAACTGTCTTTGGACAGTGCTGGCTCTTCAGCTTGGAAATGGAGATGAGCACTGCATACCTAGAGTTGGATTCGACTGGCTTTTGAGCAAGGGAAACTTTTACCTTTACTAGATAGGGTAACTCAAGGCCAGTGACACCTTTAAGCCCAACAAATGTTTATTCAACGTATGAGCTTTTATGTGCATGCACACGTTTTCAAATACACTGGAATGGAAGGTAGAGTTCAAACTTAATAGACAGAGGCTGAACAGACCAACAGGCTGACCACCTGGAACTATCTTCAAGGGAACCTCCACATTCAAAGGCAAACCTGTGAATACAGGTACCAGAAAACAACATCTGAGAAGACCTCTGCCTCTGTGCCCTGTTGTAGGCCCTCTAGAGTAATTGGTTGGCCCCTATGTTTGGCAGGATGCTGGCCTAGATAGTCTGATTTGGCTGGGTTCTTCTTATGTTCTGCCTATCATCTCCACTTTCTTACTTCTCAGTATTTCCTTACCCCCTATTTTTCTAATGTAAAAACATAATGCCCTAATTCCAGACGTAAAGGGGGGGCCGGGGGGGATACTCTGTACATACTCAAAGGCACTCATTCATCTACACCAAGTCTTGTAATAGCAGAGAACAGAGTACACGTATGTTTCAGGGTTAAATTTTCTGGCATCGAAAAGCATGTTGAGGAGACAACGCCCAGCTCGCATTACGCTCTGCAATGCCTTCCTCCGCTCAGCTGTCTCTCTTTCCGGGCCATCCCTCACGGCGGTGCCCCGCAGCCTCCTCATACCAGCCTCCGCATCCCTCGCACAGTTTCTCCTCCCTCGCCCCGCCCATTCTCTCCCCAGTGGCCATCACGTGCGAGCTTCTGCGCGCATCCTGCGTCCACCCTCTGAGCGACAGGCCACGAGGGCCAATCCACGGCGTAGGCCTAACCTTCTCCGCCTATGCGCGGGCTTGCCCGGGAAGAGGGAGGGATTTCCGCCGCTCCTGGGGCTGGATCGCTGACGGGCCGAGAGAGGGTTTTATTATGGATTCCGACTGAGGCGAAATCTGGCCCTTCTGCGGCTCGTTTGGAGCGACCTCTCCCCTTCAGGTAAGGGAGGAGCCTTCTGCCCCGTGGCGGGGGGGGGGGGCCTCGCACGACACGACCCCTGAACCCTCAAACCCCCCCGGGCTGGGCTCTCATATTAGTTTGGCTGAATGCTGGATTCCCATCAGCCGGCCGCTTGGAGCAGAAGATCGCCTTTAACGACGTGACCTTGTTGCTGCCTTTTGCTCGCTTCCCGACTCCTGAGCCCCGTCCACTGCAAATGTGATTAGGGCGGGTTGGGGGGAGGAGGAGGAGGAGGAATCGGGACACCTCGATTGAGCAAGTTTCGTTTCTGGATGCGCCTGCCTGCCTGCCTGCCTGCGTTTTCTCGCTGCCTTCCTCTTCCTCCCTTTGCCTCGTTTCCCTTTTTTGAAGTTTGTGTCGACATCCGCGCGTGATTTCTCCTCCTCCCACAAAGACGCTGATTTCCAAAGAGTGGGAATGCCCAGCTGCAAACTACTCCTTTGGAATCCCCGACATATATAAGCCAACTATATATAATATATATATATATTAAAGCCGCATACGGTGAAGTGATGCCGGCGGTGTTTATGATGTCGTTAAATGCCCTGTGATGATGCCATGCCGCTGTCCCCCATCCCCTTCCTCTCGGGCCTCTCTGGGGCTAAAAGGCTGAGCACAGCGTTGCGGTGTTAAATGTTAACAGATGAGATCCACAGAGGCGTGCTCGGAGCTTGGTCGTGCTGGTATGTTTATAACCCGGTTTTTGTACTTTGATCAACCAGAATCAGGAGTCAGTTAAAAAGTTAAGAGGGTTTCCCCGCCTCCTCGCTTCTGTTTTGTTTTCAGCACCCTGGGCAGGTACCCAAGTTGCTTGTCTTGTATAGCCCGGTTTCTAGCAGCATAATGACTGTACTGTACAGCAAAGCATGTTGGGCCCTGGATGACTTTAGCAGAGCTCTAGCTTGGTGTGCGAAGTGGTGACTTTGACCCCTGAGGTATGTGAGATTGTACTGAAACTGCAGTGTTTGCATGAGCATCTGTTAGCGTTTCTTTCAGGCTACTCTTGACTTATACAGTTCTAAATAGCTTGGGCACTGCATGTCTAAGGGATTGCCTTGTTCCATGTGTTCTCTTGACAGTTCCATTTATGTGCAGTGTTTGAACAGCAAGGGTGTATGAGACTGCTTGGGGTGATTGCTTTGCAAATTCCAAGTTCCCATCTTTGGAAATTTGGTAACACCTGAGCTTGTGAATTACTTGAAAGTGCTGTTAGGTCTCTGTATTCAGGCTGGCTGGGGTGGTTGTGTTTCAAGTTAAGCCAACAAAATGGTTGATTAGTATTTGATTTTAAAACGCACACAAAACACCACCACATAGTTTCCCCTTCATTTGGATTTTAAGGAACTCTGCTTGAGTTTACATTTTATTATTTCTTTACCTCATTTCTATCCTGCCTTTTTCCTCAGTGGGAACCCACAGCAGTTGACATTATTGTTCTCTACTCCATTTTATCCCCACAACGACTTTGTGAGGTGGGTTATGCTGAGACTGTGTGACTGTCCCAAGATCTCCCAGCAAGCTTCCATGACAGAGTGGGCATCTGAACTTGGGTCTTCCAGATCCTACTTTAACATTCTTTCATTTGCCTTGACCCTTTGAGATGGGATGGCATCGACACCTACAGGATATTTTCTGTTAGTAGTGAGGTCCCCATATCCTTCAGGATGCTCTGTAAACTAGGTTTTCTCTATAGCTGAAGATGTCATTTCTGACCTGTGTTGTCTCAGTGCTGGCGATAATATATAGTTATGCTGGTAGTGACTATGTATGGAGGTTGTCACCTCAAAAGCTCACCCTCTCCTAATCTAGCACTATGTTATCCATCTACTGATTAGGCAGACCTACTGACATTTTTTATGGTGTTGCCCTGCCATTGCATTATTTGGAACACATAAATCTGGCTATAAGACTGCATGCTAATGCAAAATATTAATGCTCTAGGAGAGACCTGTGTGCTATTCTAAACTCCTTGGGGAAAGGGTAGGATGAAAAGTTTAATCTGGATCCCTGTTTGTTTATTTGTTTTTTTTCTGTAGAAAATAAATTGCCTTCGTAGCATACTTTTCTCTGTGCATACCTGTGATGTTGCATTGGTGCAACAGTCAGTGTGTTGTATGATTATTTGTCTATGTAACTTGTCTTGTGATGTCCTCATAATGAGACTAATCAGAATAAAAATGAAACTATTTCCTGAGCTGTAAATGATATTTTCACTTCCTATCTTAATTTTAATGTGTCGTTATTCCTTCTTCTGCATTTAGCTATCTCAGATAACAGTGTATTTTATTTCATTTATACCTTGCTCTGCTGCCCAGTGGAGACCCAAAGTGGCTTACATCATTTTCCCTTCCTCCATTATATCCTCACAACAATTCTGTGAGGTAGGTCAGGCTGAAAGAGGGTGACTGGCCCAAGGTTACACTTCCATGCAGACTTCTGTGGGAGAGGGGGGAGTGAAACGTGGGTCTCCCTAACCCTAGATCCGCGCAGTCTGCTATACCATTCTGGCTCTGCGTCATGGCAACAGTGCAAAGACATGTCATCTGACAGTTTTAAAATAAGCATCCGTGTGTATATGTCCATTAAAGCTTATGCTACAGTAACAACTTCTTTTGCTTTAAGGTGCCACAAGACTCCGCCCCCTGTAGTTTTGTTGTCTCATTTCTGTGAATTTTTAGCTTTTTAGGGCAGAGACAATCATTTTCTGCTTTGTATAGCACCTGCAATGTGCTTTGTGCTTTATGAATAATAATATTAATAAACTGAAAAGTACATCTCCATTTGTAGTGTAATGAGGTAATGCTATTAGTTTGACATCCTTTCCTTGCTGAAGAGCAGCCTTTCCTAATTACTTGCTTTTTGTATGGCTATAGCAGTGGAGGCTGAGTGAAGTGATTTTGTTGTATTTTATTTGGTATGCTGTTTGTATGCATTGGTCTTTAGAACTTGAAGAAGAAATAATAACATAAGAAGAGCCCTGCTGGATCAGACCAATAGTCCATCTAAACCAGCATCCTGTCTCACACAGTGGTCAACCAGTTCCTCTGGACAGCCAACAACAGGGCATAGAGGCCAAGGCCTTCCTCTGATGTTGCCTCCTGGCTCTGGGATTCAGAGGCTTAGTGCCCCTGAACGTGAAGGTTCCCCTCCATCACCATGGCTAGTAGCCATTGATAGACTTATCCTCCATGAATCTATCTAATGTCCTTTTAAAGTTGTTTATTCCTGTGGCCATCACTACATCCTCTGGCAGTGAATTCCACATTTTAATAACTCTCTGTGTAACATAGTGTTTCCTTTTGTCTGTCCTGAACACTGAGCTCTTATTTCTACAACTACCATTTAAGTGCTGGGTAGACTGCCATTAGCTCACATACTGCTGGGTGCCCTTATCTAGGTGTATTTCTTGAGAAGGAGCAATCAGCACACTTACATAGAACTTGTGTAAATAATTGGCGAAGAGTACACAGATCTGCCTTGCCATGGAAGTGTGCTGTTTCATTATCTTTGTTTTCTGACTAAATCCTTTCAGAACAAAGCTGCAGCACAGTTCAGTTGAAGAGTTCAATATACTGACCCTGTTTAAGGTCCAATATTGATTTGCGAAATGTAGCACGGTTGACATTTTTCAGGTTGGGTTATTGCCTCTGGGTTTGCTTTCTGAAGTCTTGGTACAATATATTCCAGCTTTTTTCTAAACTCACTTTGTGTTACTGCTGTTTAATATGTCCCGTGTGAAGAGGAAATCCCTGTCCAACTGTCATCTTTTCTCCAGCTTAGGTGCTTAGGTCTGGACATTGAATCTGTAGGTGTGGGAGCATTATCAGTTGTAGAGGGGGTCTATTTTGTAAAACCTCCCTGTGGTAGGCAGCAAAGAGAAACAGATTAAAGGTCAAAATTGACTGGTTATCCTACAAGACACACAGGTACAAAGGAAGGGTTTTGGGACAGTTATCAAGTACTTGAAAGATTAAGAATAGGTTTGAAATACAACAGAAAACTTTCCTTCATGATAACAGGAAGGTATATAAATAAAATGGCTTGCTTTTGATGCCTGCAGATCAGCTGACTTTCTGCTTTTACTAATCTAGATGCAGGGTAGGGTTGCCACTTCCATGCCATGAAGACCTTCAGCTGTTCACTTCTACACTTTGGTGGTGGAAAGTGCCATCAAGTCATATTTGACTTATGGCAGCCCCATGGGGTTTTTGAGGCAAGAGATGTTCAGAGGTAGTTTGTGATTGCCTGCCTTTGCGGAGTGACCCTGGACTTCCTCGGTGGTCTCCCATCCAAGTACTAACCAGTACTAACAAGTACTAACTAACTCTGCTTAGCTTCTGAGATCTGCCAGGATCAGGCTGGCCTGGGGCATCCAGGTCAGGGTATGCTATGGAAACCTTCACCTTTTCACTTCCACACATTAAGCCTCTATTAAAGGGGCAGGACCTCTTTCCCCAGCTCTGAGCTTTTGGATGGTTTAAAGAGCTGGTCCTTTGTTGGACCAGCTGTTGTGTAATGCAAGGGATGTTTTCTCAGGACCAAGGTTCAAAACCCTAGATGAGCCCCCCACATGCTGCCACTTAAAAAAAAAAATCAGTATCTTTGCTTTGTTCCCCATTCTGCAGGCTATCTTGACTTAGCCTACCTTGAAACTGGATGGGGTAGTATAGTAGCACAGTGATACTTACATGGACTCAAACTTTGTTCTGTTACTTCAGACCTATGTGGCTACCCACCTGAACATATGCTAAGATAGGTGAGGATTGTTCCTTTGCAGGTGTGTGTAGGCCTGAAGAAGTGCTTGTAAGCTTCCGTGAGTTCCCAGCAACCTAAGGAATGCATTCTTTGCATTCCACATCAGTGATTCCTGGTAATAATAATACTTGGTACATATATAGAAGCCCTTCATGTATATTTTCTTCAAGAATCTTGTAGGCAAGTGCAGTGCTATTTACAAACTGAAGATGAGAGCTGAGACT